TTTTTTGAGACGGAGTTTTGCTTCTGTTGCCCAGGCTGGAGTGCAATGGTGTGATCTCGGCTCACCATAACCTCCACCTCTTGGGTTCAAGCAGTTCTCTTGCCTCAGCCTCCCAAGTAGCTGGGATTACGGGCATGTACCACCACACCTGTCTAATTTTTGTATTTTTAGTAGAGACGGGGTTTCTCCATATTGGTCAGGCTGGTCTCAAACTCCCGACCTCAGGTGATCTGCCTGCCTCAGCCTCCCAAAGTGCTGGGATTACAGGCATGAGCCACCATGCCTGGCCTCCAGTTCTTTTTCTTTACTGAAACACATACACGTACATATACACACTTACAGTTAGGGGTTTTGAATTTTCATAAACTAGAATCATACTATACAAGTTATACTGTAACCAGCTTTTTCCACTTAACAATATGCCTTGAGAATCTCCTGTGTCTCTTTATACAGAGTGCCTTCTTTTTTTAACAGCTGGATCATATTTCATAGTTCATTTAAATATTCTTCCATTGGTGGACATTTAAGCACTTTGAAATGTTTTTACTAGTTCACAAATGCCGAAACTAGCATTGTTGTACACATATTTTGGTAATATGTACTAGAATTTTTGTAGTACAGATTCCCAGAAGAGGAAATGGCATGTGCATGAAATTATACATGCATACAACATTCTGATAAATATTGCCATGTTGACCTCACCAAATGCTTACCAACTTATAAAACGCACATTGTGTAAATAAGGAATAAGCATGTCCATTTTCCTGCACCGAGTAATGATGTTCTGTTTAATTTTTGCCAACCTGATAAGTGAAAAATGATGTCACTGAAGTGACATATATGTTTTAAACAATGCAAAAATGTTTTAATTTATATTTTCCTATTAATAGAAAAACTTTGCTTATTTATTTATTTATTTATTTATTATTTTATTTTTGGAGATGCAGTCTCGCTCTGTCATCCAGGCTGGAGTGCAGTGGCATGATCCCAGTTCACTGCAGCCTCCACCTCTTTGGTTTAAGCCACTCTCCTGCCTCAGCCTCCCCAGTAGCTGAGATTATAGGCATGGGCCACCACGCCCAGCTAATTTTTGTATTTTTAGTAGAGACAGGCTTTCGTCATGTTGGCCCGGCTGGTCTCGAATTCCTGACCTCAGGTGATCCACCGCCTTGGCCTCCCAAAGTACTAGGGTTACAGGAGTGAGCTACCACCCCCGGCCTTATTTATTTATTTTTAGCTGAAACAAGGTCTCACTCTTCTGCCCAGGCTGGAGTTAAGTGGTGTGCTCATAGCTCACAGCACCCTCAAGCTCCTGGGCTCAAGGGATCCTCTTACCTCCTGTGAAGCTATGTATCACCATACTCTGCTAATTTTTAAAAATTTTTTGCAGAGACAGAGGTCTTGCTATGTTGCCCAGGCTGGCCTGACCCCAAGCTATCCTTTTTCCTCAGCCTCCCGAAGTGTTGGAATTATAGAAGTGAGCCACCTGACCCAGCCTACAACACCTTTTCATGTTTATTGGCCATTTGCATTTTTTCCCTCTGTAAATTGTCTGGTTATATTCTATGCCCACTTTTGACTGGGTTTTTAAATTTTTTTGTGTTTTTAAATTTTTTGTAATAATTATGTATTTTGGATAGTATTTCTATGTCTATAATACATGTTAAAATTACTTTCTTTCAATCTATTGTATGAGTAGCTTCATTTGTACTTTTCATCATTGTAAAGTTTTTAAATGTTATGCAGTCAAATCTGTCCATTTTTCTTGATGATTTCTGGGCTCAGAAAGACACTCTCCATACCAAGATTTTACAGTTATCTTCCGTTTTTATAATATGTTCAAATTTTAATTTTTTGTTTATTTCTTAATCCAAAAAGAAAGGAAATCTATTTAAGGAAATGTAAGAAAGTAGAGGCCAGGTGTGGTGGCTCACACCTGTAATCCCAGCATTTTGGGAGGCTAAGGAGGGAGGATTGTTTGAACCCAGGATTTTGACACCAACATAAGCAACAAAGAGAGACTCAATCTCCACAAAAAAACTATAAAATGAGCTGGGTGTGACAGCATGTGCCTGTTGTCCCAGCTACTTGGGAGGCTGAGACAGAAGGATTGCTTAAGCCAGGGAGGTCAAGGCTGCAGTGCGCTGTGATTGCACCACTGCACACTCCAGCCTGGGTAACACAGCAAGATCTATCAGAAAGACAGGAGGGAAGGGGAGGAGAGGGGAGGGGAGGGGAGGGAGAAAGAAAAAGAAGAAGGAGGCAGGGGAGGAAGAAAGGAGGGAAGGAAGGAAGGAAGGAAGGAAAAATAAAGGAGAAAGAGAGAGAAAAGAAAGAAGAGATAGGAAAAAAGGGAAGGAGGAAGGGAAGGAAGAAAGGGAGGGAAGGAGGAAGGAAGGAAGGGAGGGAAGGAGGAAGGAAGGAAGGAAGGAAGGAAAGAAGGAAGGAAGGAAGGAAGGAAGGAAGGAAGGAAGGAAGGAAGGAAGGAAGGAAGGAAGGAAACAGAAAGTGCCGAAGTCTGTAAGACACAAGTTACCGTATTCGAGTCAGAGTATTCCGGAGTCCCACTACATAGAACAAGATGTTGGCATCAGTGTTGCTGTAGATGCTATTGATGGCAGCCATAGTGGCACCCATCCTCCCTGCTGCAGCACAAATCACCACAGGAATCTCTTCTTCCAGTTCTTCAGGAGTCTCTGATTCATCATCTGGAAACATCAAAATCGGTGTCTTGGAACATTAAAGAATTTCGCAGTAGAGCCAGTTTAATGCATCTTCCACACTCCTGGGTGAAGATAGCATAGAGTGGAAGAGACTGCTGACTGTTCTCCAATATCTAGTCATTCTGTCTTCCCTTAGAAAATAACTTTGGAATTTTAGCTGGTACATAGCCAGCCACGAAGACTATTTTACCAGACTCATGTGCAGCTCTATGTGATCAAGTTCTGACCAATGGAATGTTAGTTCAAGTAATATGTGCCACTGCTGGGTCTACCCTTCAACGAAATGCTCACCCATCCCCTTGCCTTTCCCCTTTCCCGTTGGCTGGACTGTTGATATGATGGTGGTAGTTAGAGTAGTCAGCTTAGATCACAAGATGGAAGCTACCTGTTGACCTCACCAAAACCATAATATAGAAGGAATCTTGATCTGGCTAATTGTAGAACTGATACATCAGACTTCTACTTGAGAGAGGAAATAAACTTCTATTTTGTTTATGTCACTATTGAAACCATACCCCCAAAGAGTTAAAGAAATCAATGACTGATAGGAATTCTTGAGTTTGCAGGATGATAAATTAGAAAAAACAATTTTTGCTGAAATGATGAAACTCTCTCTGCTTCTGAGATTAAGAAACTGGCTGAAATCAGTTGGAACCAATATGGTCAACTGAAGTTTGCATAGAACAAATTTGCTAATGTCACAGCTTGGATTTTCACCCTGTTTTTCATATTAACTCCTCCCAGATTTGCACGAGACCCATTAGGTAGCATGAAGAAATAACTGTGCATGCCCCAGGACTCTCCAGACCTCCTCTTCCCTTCCATCAATCACCTGCTAATCCCGAATCTACCCTTGAGCCTTTTTAATAAAATTACTGCCTTAAAGCCATAACAGGGACACAGATTTGAGCTGGGCTCCTGTCTCCTTGTTAGATGATTTACAAGAAAACGCTTTGCTTTTCTCAAAACTCAGGGTCATAATGTTGGATTCTAGCACATCAGGCAGTGAGCCCTTTTGCTCATAACACAAAATCTATTTTGGAGCTATTTTACAGGAGTCAATTGGCTAGCCTAAAACACACACACAGTTAAAAAACAAAGAACTGAAAGCTTCATTTGTCCAACAGTCTCCAATTCTTGCCTGAATCAGAATATTCACTTTGTCTGCACTGCTGTAAGATACTAGCTGTGGTTTTCCTTCTTCTATCTCCCCTCTAGTCAAGTTTCTCGAATGCTGACAGCAAGAGGAAGGAGGTAAATGAAAGAGCATGACTAATGCACAAGATGAATAATTAATTATTCTTTTGAGCCTTGGCTGTGATATAAAATACCAAAGCCACATAACATCATACTTTAGTACCACAATACAACTTTCAGCCTTGGAGAAGAATAATGATCTGTAAGTAGAGTATCCACTATAAAATGCTCAACTGATTTTTACTTAAAGAGCGCGCTCTCTCTCTCTCACTCTCTCTCTCTCTCTCCCCCCCCCCACCCACACCCTCTCTTTCCAGATCCTTTTTGAAAAACCTCTATCCCTGAGGTTCAGGGTAGTTCTAGCTGATATTTAATTCAACAAGCATTTCTTGAAACTAACTACCAGGTACTGTGTTTTGTGTAATTTAAGACACATTGAAAATGGCCTCCTATTTCTCCTTCTACTGTGTCTGAAATTTCCATGACTAGAATAATTTTGTTTTCACAATATATTTACTGACATGAGAGAATGCTCATAAGACACTGTTAAGGAGAAAAGAATACAAAATTCTCTCTAGTGTTTGATCCCAATTTGATACATACATATTTGCAAATGAACCTATGTCTATTTATGGAATTATGCATGACTTTGATTTTGTTTGTATTTCTTATACTTTCCAAATTGTCTAAAGTAACCATGATATGGTATGGCTCTGTGTCCCCACCCAAATCTCATCTTGAATTATACTCCCATAATTCCTATGTGTTGTGGGAGGGACCCAGTGGAAGATAATTGAATCATGGGAGTGGATTTTCCCATACTGTTCTCGTGGTAGTGAGTAAGTCTCATGAGACCTGGTGGTTTTATCAGGGGGTTCTGCTTTTGCATCTCTCAATTTCTCTTGCTGCCGCCATGCAAGAAGTGCCTTTCACCTCCTGCCATGATTCTGAGGCCTCTCCAGTCATGTGGAACTATAAGTCCAATTATTACTCTTTTTCTTCCCAGTCTAAGGTATGTCTTTACCAGCAGCATGAAAACTGACCAATACAGTAAATTGGTACCAGTAGAGTGGGACATTGCTGAAAAGATACCCAAAAATGTGGAAGCAACGTTGGAACTGGGTAACAAGCAGAGGTTGGAAAAGTTTAGAGGGGTCAGAAGAAGACAGGAAAATGTAGGAAAGTTTGGAACTTCCTAGAGATGTGTTGAATGGCTTTGACCAAAAGCCAGTTAGAGACATGGACAATAAGGTCCAGGTGGAGGTGGCCTCAAATGGAGAAGAGGAATTTGTTGGGAACTGGAGAAAAGGTGACTTTTGTTATGTTTTAGCAAAGAGACCCGAGGCATTTTGCCCCTGCCCTAGGGATTTATGGAACTTTGAACTTGAGGGAGATAATTTAAGATATCTGATGGAAGAAATTTCTAAGCAGCAAGGCATTCAAGAGGTGGCTTGGATGCTGCTAAAGGCATTCAGTTTTATAAGGGAAGGAGAGCATAAAAGATTGGAAAATTTGCAGCCTGACAATGTGATACAAAAAAAAAAAAAACCCAACAATTTTCTAAGGAGAAATTAAAGCCAGCTGCAGAAATTTGCATAAGTAATGAGGAACCAAATGTTAATCCCCAAGACAATGGGAAAAATGTCTCCCGGGCATATCAGTGGTCTTCACGCAGACCCTCCCATCACAGGCCCAGAGGCCCAGGAGAAGGTGGTTTCATATGCTGGGCCCAGGGTCTGGTGCTGTATGCAGCCTAAGGACCTGGTGCCCTGTGTCCCAGTCACTCCAGCCATGGTAGAAAGGGGCCAACATAGAGCTCAGGCTGTGACTTCAGAACCTTGGCAGCTTCTGCATGGTGTTAAGCCTGTGAGTACACAGAAGTGAAAAATTGGGGTTTGGGAAACTCCACCTAGATTTCAGAAGATACATGGAAATGTCTAGATGCCAAGGCAGAAGTTTGCGGCAGGGGTGGGGCCCTCATGGAGAACTTCTGCTAGGGCAGTGCAGAAGGGAAATGTGGGGTCAGAGCTCCCACACAGAGTCCCTACTGGGGCACTGCCTAGTGGAGCTGTGAGAAGAGGGCCACTGTCTTCCAGACCCCAGAATGGTAGATCCACTGACAACTTGTACCTATTGCTGGAAAAGCCACAGGCACTCAATGCCAACCCACGAACGCAGCTGGGAGGGAGGCTATATCCTGCAAAGCCACAGGGTAGAGCTGCCCAAGACCATGAGAAGCTACTTCTTGCATCAGCATTCACCTGGATGGGAGACCTGGAGTCAAAGGATATCATTTTGGAGCTTTAATATTTGACTGCCCCACTGGATTTTGGACATGCAGGGGGCCTGTAACCCCTGTTTTGGCCAATTTCTCCTATTTGGAATGGCTGTATTTACCAAATACCTGTACTCCCATTGTATCCAGGAAATAACAAGCTTGGTTTTGATTTTACAGGCTCATAGACAGAAGGAACTTGCCTTGTCTCAGATGAGACTTTGGACTGTAGATTTTTAAGTTAATGCTGTAATGAGCTAAGACTTTGAGGGACTGTTGGGAAGGATTGGTTTTGAAATGCAAGGACATGAAATTTGGAGGGACCAGGGCAGAATGATATGGTTTGGCTCTGTGTCCCCACTGAAATCTCATCTTGAACTGTACTTTCATAATTCCCACATGTTGTAGGAGGGACCCAGTGGGAGATAATGTGAATCATGGGAATGGTTTCGCCCAGACTGTTCTCATGGTAGTGAATAAGTTTCATGAGATCTGATGATTTTATCACGGGTTTCCGCTTTTGCATATCTCATTTTCTCTTGCCACTGCCATATAAGAAGTGCCTTTTGCCTCCCATATGATTCTGAGCCCTCCCCAGGCATGTGGAACTGTAAGTTCGATTAAACTTCTTTTTCTTCCTAGTCTTGAGTATGTCTTTATCAGCAGCATAAACAAACCAAAAAAAAGTTTCTTAAGGATTATTCCTTTTGGACTAAATTGTCATCTTATATTACCTGGAGGCTGTGAAGTGATCTGCCAAAAATGCTAATTTGACTATATTTCTTTGTGGCTAAAAGTTCTTCAGTGGTTCCTAAAAATTAAAGCCACATCTTTGTCTGGCACACAAGCTCCCTCATGATCCAGTCCCTGCTCACTTCTCCAGCCTCACCTCCTTCTATTTCAGTAACACCAAACTCCTCATGGTTCCCAGAACACTACTCTTATCTCAGTGCCTTTGTATATGATGTTCCCAATGCCTGGAATGCTTTCAATATCCTTTTCTGCATGGCTAATCTTTACATATTCATTCCAAATTCCAAATGCGGTACCAACATCAGATCCTCTGGGAAGCCTTTAACAGCTCCCTACACAAATTAACATGTTCCTTCTCTGTGCTGTGGCCTTACCTAAGGTTGGATTTATTAAGTGCATTGCAATTTATTTGGTTGCATGTCTTCCCTCTTTCTCCTATTACACTAGGATCCCTGTGAGGGCAGGGATCGTATCTTGTTCATCTCTGTATTTTCAGCAGCTGTCCCAGTTCCTGGTACATGGTAGATTTTCAATAAAATTTGAATAGATGGTGAGTATTAGATACCACTATTTGAGCACTTGCCACAATGCACTGGAAGAATCTTTATGTGTCTGTCTCCTCCACTACACTGTAAGCTCATTATATTATCCCCACTGAGTCTGGCACTTTGGGAGTGCTTCATGAAAGTTTGCTGAAATGAACTAAATGGAATTGATGAATGAGCCTCAGAAAACAGGACTCTTGAGGAATAAGAGGGAAGGGTGAAAATGTTGGGGTAGTGCCTGGCTCCCAGACCCAGGCAGGGGCCTTCAGCAGACAATGGGAAGCACAAGGTAAAAGGAGGGCATTCTCATGAAAGAGGGGACACTCCAGAAGAAGGTCAAACATTGAGTGTCCAGCTCTGCTGCCAACACATAATATTGCCACACTCCTTAGGGGCATCTGCCAGGCAAAGAAACTGAGCACTAACCTAAGCCAAAAATACTGCTCTCTGCCAAAAAATTTCCCCTGGACAGAATAAAGAACAAAGGCACACTGGAGAAATGAGGTGGAAAGGCTTATCAACTGTACCTTCTTCATCAATGCTCCATCCTTGCAGTTTCTTTAAGAATTATCTGCTCCATTATTTGGATTCATTGTACCAACTGGTGCCTGAGCCAACGCATTAAAATGTTGGCTATGGGAAACCATTTGGTGCCTAACAAAAATAGAAAACATCACAATGACAGCAGAATGGACTAGAAATGATTACTGCCTTCATCCCTTCCATAAGCAGCTCTGATCAAGCCACGCCCATTCCTAGAAGAGAGGAAATGTTCTGCTCTCCTAGTACCATGACTCAGGATCCCATTTCAAATAAGAATTGTTTTAGCCAAGTGTATCAGTTTGCCTCTCCCAAAGTGAGACAGCTGTGAGTGACCAGCACACTTATCACAAAAAAAGTATCAGGAGATTACATGGAATGTCACCATGGGGAGATTACAGAGAATGCTGCCATGTTTTACTTCAGCATAGGACTTCACAGGGCTCCTGGACATTAACTTAGAATACTAGTTTTTTATAAAAATTAATATTTAATTATTGAAAAAATTTCAGCCCAAACCGAAGAATATTTGGTAAATTGTGACTGTTTTCTGCAGACCTCTCGCTCCTACTCCAAAAGTTGACCTACATAACAATATATAACATAACCAGCATGGTGTGTGACCCCAAACCCTTCTTCATGTTTACATATTCTAAAGAATATATACCTTAAACACTTATTATTTAAAAACCAAAATGGAATCATACTTTTCAGTGTCTTCTGCAACTTGCTTTTCCCACTTAACATATCACAAGCATCCTTCCATGCCAACACTATGTTCATCTGAGTGGTATTTTATAACACCGATTTAAAAAAATTTTAACACTGAATGAATAAACATGTGATAATGGATCCATTCATGTGGTCCAAATGCTTTGTTTATCTATATAGATGATTAGTCAGTCAGGATGTGCATTTCTTTAGAGCTGTTTTAACAGCTGTTTTGAAACTGATCCACTTCTTTCCCTGAAGAAGGGAGTCTGTGGTGGGATTAGCTGAGTGAATGTGTTGGTTTATGAGCAGGGAGGGAAGCATGAGGAGTGGAGTCAGAAGTTCAGATGACATTTGTCTTTACATGATTTCCTTTTCTCTCTTTTAAAACAGTTTATTGAGATGTAGATACTACTACGGACTGAACTGTGTCCTCCAGAGTCCATCTGTGAATGTCTTAGCTCCCAGCATCTCAGGATGTGTGTTCTTGGAGACAGAGCCTTTAAAGGGGAAATTAAGTTAAAGTGAAGTCATTTAGTGTGGCCTTAACCCAATAAGACTGGTATCCTAGTAAGAGGAGGAAAAGAGGAGAATCATATAGAGGGTCACAACCAGGACTGCAGCACAGAGAAAATGCCACATGAGGACATAGCAAGAAGGCAGCTGTCTGCATGCCAAGGAGAGAGGCCTCAGGAGAAACCAAACCCTCTCGCACCTTGATCCTGGACTTCCAGCCTCCAGAACTAGAGAAAACACATTTCTATGGTCTAGCCATTTAGTCTGTGCTAGTTGGTTATGGCAGCCCTAGCAAACAAATACAGATTAAAAAAAAAATTTACTCATTGTAAGTGTACAGTTCAATGATGTTTTGTAAATTTATAGAGTTGTACAACCATCACCACTATCCAGTTTTAGAAAGTTCCTTTGAGCTGGCGGGTCTGCAGCCAATCTATTCCCACTCCGAGCTCTAGGCAACCACCAATCTGCTTTGTATCTCCATAGATTTTCCTTTCCTAGAAATTTCATATAGATGGAATCATACAATATATGGTCTTTCAGGTTTGACTTCTTTTATTTAGCATAGTTTTCTTTTAGGTTCATCCATATTGTAGCTTGTATCAGTCATTTGGTCCTTTTTACTGTCAAAAAGTATTTCATTGTGTGGGATAAATTACGTGTTTTGTATCCATTCACTAGTTGATGTACATGTGAATTGTTTCCAGTTTGAGGCTACTATGAATTATACCCTATGAACATTTGTATATATGTCTTTGTGTGAAAATCACTCTTTGCAGATGCTCTCTATGTTCATTTAGATCAGATTATACGTTTTTAATTATTTTTAAATGATTTTTTTTTTTTGAGACAGCATCTCACTCTGTTGCCCAGGTTGGAGTGAAGTTGCACAATCTCAGCTCACTGCAACCTCCACCTCCCAGGTGGAGAATCAAGCAATTCTCCTCCTCAACCTCCTGAATATCTGGGATTACAGGAACCTGGCTAATTTTTGTATTTTTAGTAGAGATGGGGTTTCACCATCTTGGCCAGCCTGGTCTTGAACTCCTGACCTCATGATCAACCCACCACGGCCTCCCAAAGTGCTGGGATTACAGGTGCTAGCCACAATGCCCAGCCCAAATTAATTTTTAAATTACAAAATATAATCAGAAAGAAATGCCAGCTTCATCGAAATAGGGAAGTTGTTTTTGTTCACTGTTGTGTTTCCAGTCCCTAAGCATCTGGCTGAAAAAAAAAAGTGAGGAATAAATGTATGTAACACATCAAAAGAGTAACTGTATTCAGAATCTCACTCTATCATCCAAGCTGGAGTGCAGTGGCACTATCAGGGCTCACTGCTGCTTAGATCTCCTAGGCTCAACTGATCCTCTCATTGAGCCTCTTGAGTAGCTGAGACTATAGGCAAGCCCCACCATGCCCAGGTAATGTTTTGTGTGAGTGTAGACAGGGTCTCGCTTTGTTGCCTAGGCTGAGCTGGTCTTAAACACCTAGACTCAAGTGATTCTCCCACCTCAGCCCCCCAAAGTTCTAAGATTACACGTATGAGCCACCACCACCAGCCCATAAGTGTATATTTGCTTGATTGATATAAAAAGTAAATTAGCTGGGCATGGTAGCTTATGCCTGTAATCCCAGCACTTTGGGAGGCCAAGTCAGGAGGTTAGCTTGAGCCCAGGAGTTCAAGACTAGCCTGGGCAGCATGGCAAAACCCATCTCTCCAAAAAATACAGAAAGTTTGCTGGGTGTAGCGGCACACACCTGTAGTCCCAACTATCTGAGGGTGCTGACGCAGGAAGATTGCTTGAGCCCTGGAGGTCGAGGCAGCAGTGAGCTGCTATTGTGCCACTGTACTCCAGCCAGGGCAACAGAGTGAGACTCTGTCTCAAAAAAAAAAGTAAATTAATTAAATTGTAATAAGCAGTGCTTCTTTATTTTTATGGAGATTGACTTTGTGTGTACATTGGAGTTATGAAGGTGCCATCTCAAGCAATTCAACCCCATGAGGGAAACACAGTGCAGCTGGGAGAGAACACAGGGCCAATGGGGGGCCATTTTCAAGTTGAGAGTTACGAGGCTGTCTTGCACTGATGGGAATTTACCAGCAGGGAGAGGAGAGAGAGGGCGGTTTCCATAAGCAAAGTCATTGAGAAGCTCCAAAGAAATGGGGTGTAAAGTGGTACACCCACTGTGTGGTCCAAGAACCCACAGCATCAGCCTCAACCAGGAGCTAATTGGAAATGCAAATCTTGAGGCTCCAACCCATACCTACTTATCCTACATCTCACAGGTGGCCCAGTGCTGCGTTTTAGCAAGCTCTCCATGTGAATCTCACACATGCTAAAGTTTGAATAGCACCAACCACCCTAGAGAACAACTGAAAAGGTGGTCTAGGGCAGATATTCTACTAGCAGGTCCTTGAGAGTTGACCAAACTGACACTTGTCCCTGAACCCAGATATTGAAAGGACCTAGAAGAACACATTTAAACCACATTCCTGTGTATCCCATCTCAATGAATTCCATGTCTGCTCACCTGTGTCATTTTTGGGCACAGTCCCCTTATGTACTTTCTTATACAGAATCACACAGAGGGTCACAATCAGAAGGAACAGCAGCACCTGATTAACTGATATAGAAATAGAAACACGTTAACATTGAACCTGTGAACCCGAAATCACGTGACAAAGTTTAGCATGGTAATGTGAGTAGATGCTTTCCATGTCACATGGAGAAGTGGTGGTCTGAGACCTTTCTATAAGCAGGTAGCATATAAAGAATTAACCTGACCAGGTTTGGTGGCTCATGCCTGTAATCTCAGTACTTTGGGAGGCTGAGGCAGGCAGATCACTTGAGCTCAGGAGTTCAAGACCAGCCTGGGCAACATAGTGGAACCCTGTCTCTACAAAAAAACAAAAACAAACAAACAAGAAAACCCTACAAAAAATAGGGGGGGCGGCGGCATGCATGTGTAGTCCCAGCTACTCAGGGGGCTGAGATAGGAGATTGGCTTGAGCCTGGGAGGTAGAGGCTGTAGTGAGCCAAGATTACTCCAGCCTGGGTGACAGAGCCAGATCCCGTCTCAAATACAAAAACAAACAGAAAGAATTAACCTGGAACACTATTGTTGCTCAGAGGTTTTGCATCTTTACTGAATTCGTATATCAGTCCTAATTGTTTTTTGGTGGAGTCTTTAGAATTTTCCAAATATAAGATTATATCGGCCAGGAGTAGTGGCTCACACCTGTAATCCCAGCACTTTGGGAGGCTGAGGTGGGCAGATCACTTGAGGCCAGGAGTTCAAGACCAGCCTCGGCAACATGGCAAAACCACATCTCTACTAAAAATACAAAAATTAGCTGAGTGTGATGATGCATCCTGTAATCCCAGCTATTTGGGAGGCTGAGGCATGAGAATTGCTTGAACCTGGGAGGCGGAGGTTGCAGTGAGCCAAGATCGAAACACTGCAGTCCAGGCTGGGTGATAGAGAGAGACTGTCTCTCCAAAGCAAAACAAAACAAAACAAAACAAAACAAAAATATATCATCTTCAAACAAGGATAATTTGACTTCTTCCTTTCCAATTTGGAAGCTATTTCTTTTGCTGTACTGTGTTGAATAACAATAGTGAAAGCAGCCATCCTTGTCGTGTTCCAGATGTAAAAGGAAAGGCTTTCAGTTTTTCCCCATTTAGTGTGATACCGGCTGTTGGTCTTTCACATGTGGCTTTTATTTTGTTGAGTTTAAGTGATTCTTCTATGAGCCAGTAGTAATTATAAGTACATGTTCTTAGCCATTATGACACAGTTGCTTCTCAGTTAACTCAACCCCTGGTCAAGGATGATGTGCAGGCCAGGTGCGGTGGCTCACACTTGCAATCCGAGCACAGGTGGATCACCGGAGGCCAGGAGTTTGAGACTAGCCTGGCCAACATAGCGAAAACCTGTTCCTACTAAAATACAAAAATTAGCTGGGTGTTGCACATGACTGTAGTCTCAGATACTCAGGAGGTTGAGGCATGAGAATTGCTTGAACCCGGGAGGCGGAGGTTGCAGTGAACCGAGATTGTGCCACTGAACTCTAGCCTGGGAGACAGAGGCAGAAGAAAGAAAGAGAGAGAGAGAGAGCAGAAGGAAGGGAGGGAGGGAGGGAAGGAAAGGCAGAAAATTCTTGCTTGCCCTGGGTAAACAGTTAGAAGACCCCAATGCCTCTAAGCCTCCAGGTCTGTCTGTTCCAGTGATGTTTGCTCTTAGGATCGGGAGAGAAGTAGAGTGGCATGAAACAGTGTTTTCTTGAGTATGGAACACACAGCACTGGTAGTGCATGAAATGATTGGGGAAGTTCATGTTCATAGCATTAAGTAATATTACATCACCATCTGAGAAAGTCAGCCTTCCTGATTTTATGTGCAGGAGCACAACAAAAGCTACCCAGAATTGAATCACATTTTTCTAAATGTATACATGTTTAAAGCTACTTTTTTTTTTTATGATAGGTAATCATTCTGTTTTCATTTACAGTAAGGATAAGAACTTTCTATTATGAATTACACTTACAAAAATGAGTTGACTTAAAGAAAAATGTGTTTTTTTAGACAGAGTTTCACTCTTGTTGCCCGGGCTGGAGAGCAATGGCACAGTCTCAGCTCACTGCAACCTCTGCCTCCTGGGTTCAAGCGATTCTCCTGCCTCAGCCTCCGAAGTAGCTGGGATTACAGGCATCCACCATCACGCCTGGCTAATTTTTTTTATTTTTAGTAGAGATGGGGTTTCACTATGTTGGCCAGGCTGATCTCAAACTTCTGACCTCAGGTGATCAGCCCGCCTTGGCCTCCCAAAGTGCTAAGAATACAGGCATGAGCCACCACGCCCAGCACATATTATTTTTTATTATTTGTATGTATCAAGAGACTTAATCTACTGACTACATATGGATCTATTTTTTTTGGCCTCTATGCCTTTGTCTTCCCACTTGTAAAAGAAAAGAGTCTCCATGGATGCCTTTCAAAGCTACATCCTGAGGCTGTGATTCTATTTTCCTGACACCCAGTTCCTCACTGCCTTATAAATTACAGATTCAGCCAGGGTCAATCAGATACTAGACTCATTTTAAAACAAAATGATGGAGAATCAGGAAATGGACAAAATTCTACAATTTATCAACAGGTCTGATTAATACACAGCTGCAATGGCTGAGTGTGGTGGCTCACACCTGTAATCCCAACACTTTGGGAGGCTGAGGCAGGTGGATCACTTGAGGTCAGGAGTTTGAGACCAGCCTGGCCAACATGGTAAAATCCCATCTCTACTAAAAACACAAAAATTAGCTAGGCATGGTGGTGGGTGCCTGTAATCCCAGCTACTTGAAAGGTTGAGGCAGGAGAATCATTTGAACCCGGGAGGCAGAGGTTGCAGTGAGCAGAGATCACATCACTGAACTCCAGCATCAGTGACAAAGCAGAACTCTGTCTCAAAAAAAAAAAAAAAAAATTCACCTGCCACAACCAACTTGGGGAGATGGCCCAGTGTCTACTATCATCTGACACTTTCAACTGTGGCTGTTAGCACTGACATAGAGTTGCCTGATAAAATTATATTTTTAGTACAAATATGTCTTATGCAATATTTGGGGCATACTTATACTAAAAATTTGTTGTTTATCTGAAGTTCAAATTTAACTCCGGTCCTGTGTCTTTGTTTGCTGAATCTGGGAATTCTACCCTGAGGGTAACACAATTAGGTTACTATGTTTCTCCACAAATTCACAAATGACTGGATCTACCATCAGAGGCAAACCCAGTTTCTGATGGGTCTGAAGAGTTGAGGTGACTCTTTAAGAATATGAATACAAAATGCTAAATTAGCTATGAACATGAATATTTATTCAGAATGAGAAAATGCATTATATCTGCAAGTTTTATAGAAATATATGATTCTTCTTCTAAGTCCACTTCCACTTCTTTTTTGTTCGTTTGTTTTTTGAGACGGGTTCTTGCTCTGTCTCCCAGGCTGGTATGCAGTGGTGCAATCTCGGTTCACTGCAGACTCTGCCTCTCAGGCTCAAGTGATCCTCCTGCCTCGGCCTCCTGAGTAGCTGAGACTACAGGCACCTGCCACCATAACCAGCTAATTTTTGTATTTTTTGTAGAGATAGGGTCTTGCCATGTTGCTCAGGCTGGTCTTGAACTCCTGAGCTCAACTAATCCGCCCACCTAAGCCTCCCAAAGTACTAGGACTATAGGTGTGAGCCAGTGCGCCCAGCTAATAAGTCCACTTCTGACTAAAATACTGAACAACTCTCCATGGGAATCATCCGGAAATGATGATGCCAAAACTATCCATGAAAATCAAAGACAATTCAAGAAAGAAGAAAAAAGCCAAGCCCCAGCATCAAAACAATCCTCCCAAATATCTGATTTTTAATCATTATTTTCAAAGTTGTAATCTTACTTTTTCGTAACAGAGCCATGTGTGTTCACGCAGATAAGAACTGTGATCTGTGGATTAAGAAAGAAAAATCCATTTAAAAGAGAATCAATTAAAAGTCAGCAACAAGTGTTAAGGACTATGCTGTCTCTGAAGGACTGATCTATCATGAAGTGTATGATTATCTTTTACTGCTTTGAATCTAAAATTTTGGAAACAAAATAAATATAGGCCCATCTCCTCAAAAGTGATGCCTCTGGTTGAATAAACCTTACTAAGGGTCCTCAAGAGCTAATCTTTTGTCTTCAGAATTTCTTTTTCTTTTCTTTTTGGTGACAGAGTCTCACTCTGTCACCCAGGCTAGAATGCAGTGGTGCGACAGAAGTGCGACAGAGGTTCTCACTGCAACCTCCACCTCCAAGGTTCAAGCAATTCTCCTTCCTCAGCCTCCTGAGTAGCTGGGACTAGGCACGCACCACCAAGCCCGGATAATTTTTGTATTTTTAGTAGAGACAGGGTTTTGCCATGTTTCCCAGGCTGATCTCGAACTTCTAGCCTCAAGCAATCCATCCACTTTGGCCTCCTAAAGTGCTGGGATTACGGCATGAGCCACCTTACCCAGCCCAGAATTATTTTTATATATATATATATATATATATATATATATATATATATATATATTCACATGTATGTGTGTATATATATATTTTATTGCATTTTAGGTTTTGGGGTACATGTGAAGAACATGCAAGATTGTTGCATAGGTACACACGTGGCAGTGTGATTTGCTGCCTTCCTCCCTTTCACCTATATCTGGCATTTCTCCCCATGCTATCTCTCCCCAACTCCCCACCCCCCGTGTCCCTCCCCTATTTCCCCCCAACAGACCCCAGTGTATAGCGCTCCCATCCCTATGTCCACGTGTTCTCATTATTCATTACCCGCCTATGAGTGAGAACTTGCGGTGTTTGATTTTCTGCTCTTGTGTCAGTTTGCTGAGAATGATGGTTTCCAGGTTCATACATGTTCCTACAAAGGACACAAACTCATCGTTTTTGATGGCTGCGTAATATTCCATGGTGTATATGTGCCACATTTTCCCTGTCCAGTCTATCATCGATGGTTGCAGGTCTTTGCTATTGTAAACAGTGCTGCAATGAACATTCGTGTGCATGTGTCCTTATGGTAGAATGATTTATAATCCTTTGGATATATATCCAGTAATGGGATTGCTGAGTCAAGTGGAATTTCTATTATTTCTAAGTCCTTGAGGAATTGCCACACTGTCTTCCACAATGGTTGAACTAATTTACACTCCCACCAACAGTGCAAAAGTGTTCCTATTTCTCCACATCCTCTCCAGCATCTGTTGTCTCCGGATTTTTTAATGATCGCCATTCTAACTGGCGTGAGATGGTATCTCAATGTGGTTTTGATTTGCATTTCTCTAATGACCGGTGATGATGAGCATTTTTTTGTATGTTGGTTGGCCTCATGCATGTCTTCTTTTGTAAAGTGTCTGTTCATACCCCTTGTCCACTTTTGAATGGGCTTGTTTTTTTCTTGTAAATCTGTTTTAGTTCTTTGTAAATTCTGGATATCAACCATTTGTCAGATGGGTAACCAGCCCAGAATCTTTTTTAACCTCCTGCAAAAAGAGCTGTCAGCTGGCTGTACGCCATGGCTCAGCCTGTAATCCCAGCACTTTGGGAGGCCAAGGCGGGTGGATGACAAGGTCAGAAAATCAAGACCATTCTGGCTGACATGGTGAAACCCCATCTCTACTAAAAATACAAAAAAAAAAAAAAATTAGCTGGATGTGATGGCACGCACCTGTTACCCCAGCTACTCAGGAGGCTGAGGCAGAAGAATCGTTTGAACCAGGAGGTGGAGGTTGCCGTTAGCTGAGATCACACCACTGCACTCTAGCCTGGGCAATGAGCAAGACTGTCTCGGAAAAAAAAAAAAAAAAAAGCTCTGTCAACCTTCCGGGTTAGCAGAGCAGAGCACATGGCAGTAACTGGAAGTATCGCACTAGAACATCTCCTTGATCTAAAATAGCAACCACATGCTATCTTTCTACTCTCATAACTTCATTCCTTGATAAGAAAGCCTTTATATCTTCAGGAATACCTTGGATGGGGCATGCATTATACTCAATTCAATCATTCATTCAGTATTTACATATTTACATATTGGGATCCTACTAAAAGCCCAGCACTTTGCCACTTCCCAGTGATGTACCGATGAACAAAACAGTCCTGGTCCCTATCCTCCTGGAGCTTTTGGTCCAGTGGGGGAAACAGATATTAAAATGTGACATGTAAAATTATGTTAAGTGCTATGAAGGAAGCAATGGAGGTGCTGGGATAAAGATGAACAAGGGTGGGAAGTGCATCAGGAAATCAGGAAAAGCTTCATTGAGGAGATGGCATTGGAGGAAAGGAAGAGGAGGAGCCAGTCAAGGGCAGAACATGCAGAAAAGCAGCAAGGGAACAGCAGAGGGAACAGCAAGTGCAAAGGCCCTGGGGCTGGAATGAGCTCCAAGTATTCTAGGAACTGCAAGAAGCTCACTGTAGCTGGATCACAGTGAACCAAGGGAGAGACTGACTGGAAGAGGCCGGAGAGGTACCAAGGGGCTAGATACTACTGTGCCTGAAGAGAAGTTTTGATTTTATTTTACATGCATTAAACCCCTTCCATCAGTGTTTAACATTGTTAAAGCCCTAAAGGACCGTTTCTCAAACATTCCCCAGGGAATTGTGATGGTAAAGGAGAATGAATACTCAGCATTGCTCACAGTGAGCCCAAAGTATCTTTCAAGGTTTTTGTATTACCTTCAAATTCATGGGAGCTGTGTAAGATGTAGTACTGGAAAGGAATCACTCCTTTAACTGCTGGGAGAGTTCCCCCTCAGGGAGAAAACTACCTGTTATGAGAGCAAGGTCTTCTGTGCCTAGGTGGGATGGCCAGGTGAAAGCAGGGAAAAGCTAAACCGGTTTGAATAAGGGATGAATCAAAATCCTGTGGGCGGTTTGGCCACAGCCCAAGAAAAAATTTTATTAAAGGGAAAAGGAAAGTCCAAGTTACTTACTCAGGAGAACTTCCTTTCCTATGGCAGGCCCAGGGACTGTTCAAGAACAGATGTCCAATACTCAACCCACAATCTTCTTCCACGCTCTCCACCTTCTAACCTCAGCCCACCTCCACGCTGCTCTTCACGGGACCTAAAGTGACATTTTAAGTGTTTTACCAGGTGTAGTGGCTCACTTTGGGAGGCTGGGGTAGGCAGGTGCTTGAGCCCAGGAGTTTGAGACAAGCCTGGGCAACATAATAAGACCCCTCACCCCCACAATTTCTACAAAAAATACAAAAATTAGCAGGTATAGTGGTGCGTGCCTGTAGTCCCAGCTACTCGGGAAGTTGAGGCTGGAGGATCACTTGTGCCCAGGAGGCTGAAGCTGCAGTGAGCTGTGGCTTCTGCACTCCAGCTGGGAGACAGGGAAAAACCCTGTTTAGAAAAAGGAAAAGAAGAGAGAGAGAGAAAGAAGAGAAAGAAAAAAGACAGAAAGAGAAAGAAAGGAAGAAAGAGAGAGAAAGAAAGAAAGAAAGAAAGAAAGAAAGAAAGAAAGAAAGAAAGAAAGAAAGAAAGAAAGAAAGAAAGAAAGAAAGAAAGAAAGAAAGAAAGAAAGAAAGAAAGAAAGAGAGAGAGAGAGAAAGAGAGAGAGAGGGAGAAAGAGAGAGAAAGAAAGAAAAGAAAAAAAAAGAATGAAAGAAAGAGAGTGAGAAAGAGAGAATGAGAAAGGAAGAAAGAGAAAGAAAGAAACAGAGAGAAAAGTAAAGCAAAAAAGAAAAACTGCTGCTCTCAGAAGAGCTACCAGGTTTGTTGTGTATCTTTTTGTAGCCCCAAGCTCACAGCAGTAATATTCCAGGGGATGAGCACTGTGGGATGAGAAAGTTTATCTCATCCCACAGTGGTATGTTTATTTGGTCCCAGACAAACATCAGGAGAGGGGCAGGCTTTCGGGGTGAGAGCAAGGAGAAGGGAACACAAATGGAAAGAGAGCCCTGGAAGAAAGGCTGGAGGATTCTCAGAGATAGCTTTGGAATGAAATGTACCTGTTTCACGTTGCTATACACGATTAAAGTAATTAAAATACCCACCTCCATCCAACTTCATGTAACCCAATATTGAAAGGCTTTTCTGCCTCTGTATTGAATATTACAGAAAATATAGTGGTAGGCTGCTAGAAAAAGGGAGATTTGGGGGTTGATATTCTTACAGGACTTATACTGAACATATTTAATAACCCATATGGCCCTTGGCATTGATCAATCAAAATGGGTACCAGCTATAAATGACTGGCGCAGTCCCACAGGAGTTTCTAAATAATAAATAGCAGTTTTGGCACCTACAGAATGTCAAACCATATTAATGTATTATCTATCCAAACATATAAACACAGTTGATTCTACACACACACACACACACACACACACACACAGACACACACACGTACATACACACACATGATGCTCTATATTTTGATAAGCAGCAAGAACTGTGTCACATCATCAATCATTCTGATGTTCTATCAGGCCAACTTTTTACATAAAGTCCTTTGCATAAGAAAAATGCAGGGCAAATTCTAAGAGGCCTATCAACTAGATGTATTCCAAGAACAACTTCTTTTAACAAAAGAGAACAGCTGCTGTTTCAGAGCCTAAAGAATTGGCCTATGAGAACTACTTTTCTGCCAAGGTATTTGATACATGTTGACAAGCAAATTTATTTCTGGTCTTATGGATTTACGCACATTTCTTACTGTGAGTTTCTTTCTTGATGTTCTTAAAAATTGCTATGTGTCGAGGGGAGGGAGAGCATCAGAATAAATAGCTAATGCATGCCAGGCTTAATACCTAGGTAATGGGTACATAGGTGCAGCAAACCACCATGGCACACATTTACCTATATAAGAAACCTGCACATTCTGCACATATATCCCAAAACTTAGAATAAAATAAAAATTTAAAAAATTGCTGTGCATACTATTTCTTTTTTATTAGGTAGTATTTTCTGAATTCTTTAGACTGTATTGAAGAAATCAGAAAGAGTGCTTCACCCAGGGAAACACAAATGGTTCTGCAGAATAAACATTCAGTATGTCTGCTTTTGTTTTAAATAGGCTTCCTTTCCATGACACATTTACTGAAGGAATATCACCATATCAGCTTCAAAATTGGACAGGCTGATTTTTAAGATTAAAAAAATTTACATACATTAGAATTTACTTTTTTGTTTATATAGTTCTATGAATTTTTACACATGCATAGATTCTTGTAACAACCACAGCAAATGGGATAGAGAACACCACCAACACTCCTGAAGAATTCCCTTGTGCTGCCCCTTTGTAGTCAGGCCCTTTCCAACACCTAGCCCTTGGCAACTGCTGATCTGTTCTCTGTCTCTATAGTTTTGCCTTTTCCAGAATGTCATATAAATGGAATCCTACAGGATGTAATATTTTGAGAGGCTCTCTTCTCTCACTTAGCACAATGCTTTTGAGATTCATACTTGTTATTGCCTTTATCAAGTTTGTACCTTTTTATTGCTGAATAGTATTCCATTGAATGGATATATCACAGTTTATCCATTCACCCATTGAAGGACATCTGGGCTGTTTCCATTGTTTTGTGATTATAAGTAATGCTTCTGTAAACACTTGTTTACAGATTTTTGTGTGAATAGAGGGTAACTGCCTAGAAGTGGTATTCCTGAGTCTTTTGGTAGATATATATTTAACTCTATAAGAAACTGCCAATCTAGGCTGGGCACAGTGGCTCATACCTATAATCCCAGCACTTTGGGAAGCCAAGGTGGGAGGATCGCTGAGCTCAGATGTTCAAGACCAGCCCTGGCAATATAGTGAGACTCCTATCTCTAAGAAAAAAAATGTGGAGAGTTAGAGAAAAAAAAATTAGCCAGACCTGGTGGTGGGCACCTGTGGCCCCAGCTATTCAGGAGGCTGAGGTGGGAGGATTGCTTGAGCCTGGGAGGTTAAGGCTTCAGTAAGCCATAGTGGCACCATTGCACTCCAGCCCAGGTGACAGAGTGAAACCCTATCTGAAACAAAAAAGGAAAAAAAAAAAGAAAGAAAGAAATTGACGATCTTTTTCCCTGAGCAGAAACAGGTTTTCATTTTGTATTCCCACTAGCATCATAAGAAAGTTCCAGTTGCTTGTATTCTTGTCAATACTTGGTATTGTCAGTACCTTTTTATTTTAGCTGTTCTAATGGGTGAATTGCATTGTGATTTTAATTTGCATTTCCTTGTTGTTTACTCATGTTGAGCATCTTTTTGTGTGTTTATTTATCAAACACATATGGTGAAATGTCTGTTTAAATCTTTTGCACATTTTTATAGGAATATTTTCTTATTTTTGAGTTTTGGGAGTAGTTTATACATTCTGGATACAAGTCTTGTGTTAGGGCCAGGTGTTGTGGCTCACACCTGTAATCCCAGCACTTTGGGAGGTCGAGGTTGGCAGACTTCAGGTCAGGAGTTTGAGACCAGCCTGGCCAACATGGTGAAACCCCGTCTTTACTAAAATACAAAAATTAGGCAGGCATGGTGGTGCGCATCTGCAATTCCAGCTACATGGGAGGCCAAGGCAGGAGAATCACTTGAACCCGGGAGGCAAAGGTTGTAGTGAGCCAAGATTGCACCACTGTACGCCAGCCTGGGCAACAGAGCAAGATTTGTTTGTTTTTTTCTTGTAAATCTGTTTTAGTTATTTGTAGATTCTGGATATAAGTCCTTTGTCAGATGGGTAGATTGCAAAAATTTTTTCCCATTCTGTTGGTTGCCAGTTCACTCAAATGATTGTTTCTTTTGCTGTACAGAAGCTCTGGAGTTTAATTAGATCCCATTTGTCTATTTTGGCTTTGATTGCCAATGCTTTTGGTGTTTTAGTCATGAAGTCCTTGCCTATGCCTATGTCCTGAATGGTTTTGCCTAAGTTTTCTTCTAGAGTTTTTATGGTGTTAGGTCTTATGTTTAAGTCTTTAATCCATCTGGAGTTAATTTTAGTGTAAGGTGTCAGGAAGGGGTCCAGTTTCTGCTTTCTGCACATGGCTAGCCAATTTTCCTAACACCATTTATTAAACAGGAATCCTTTTCCCATTGCTTGTTTTTGTCAGGTTTGTCAAAGATCACATGGTTGTAGATGTGTGGTGTTGCCTCCGAGGCCTCTGTTCTGTTCCATTGGTCTACATCTGTTTTGGTACCGGTACAATGCTGTTTTGATTACTATAGCCTTGTAGTATAGTTTGAAGTCAGGTAGCGTGATGCCTCCAGCTTTATTCTTTTTGCTTGGGATTGTCTTGTCTATGCAGGCTCTCTTTTGGTTCTATATGAAGTTTAAGGTGTTTTTTTTCCAGTTCTGTGAATAAGGTCATAGGTAGCCTGAAGGGGATAGTGTTGAATCTATAAGTTACTTTGGGCAGTATGGCCATTTTCACGATATTTATTCTTCCTAACCTTAAGCATGGAATGTTTTCCCATTTGTTTGTGTCCTCTCTTATTTCCTTGAGCAGTGGTTTGTAGTTCTCCTTGAAGAGGTCCTTTACATCCTTTGTTAGTTGTATTCCTAGGTATTATATTCTCTTTGCAGCAATTGTTAATGAGAGTTCATTCTTGATTTGGCTCTCTTCAAGTCTGTTATTGGTGTATAGGAATGCTTGTGATTCCTGCACGTTGATTTTGTATCCTGAGACTTTGCTGAAGTTGCTTATCAATTTCAGGAGATTTGGGGCTGAGACAATGGAGTCTTCTAAATATACAATTGTCATCTGCAAATAGAGACAATTTGACTTACTCCTTTCCTAATTGAATACCTTTTATTTCTTTTTCTTGCCTGATTGCTCTTGCTAGAACTTCCAAAACTATATTGAATAAGGAGTTGTGAGAGAGGGCATCCTTGTCTAGTGCCAGATTTCAAAGGGAATGCTTCCAGTTTTTGCCCATTCAGTATGATATTGGCTGTAGGTTTGTCATAAATAGCTTTTATTATTTTGGGATACATTCCGTTGATACCTAGTTTCTTGGAAGTTTTTAGCATAAAGGGCTGTTGAATTTTGTTGAAGACCTCCTCTGCATCTATTGAGGTAATCATGTGGTTTTTGTCTTTGGTTCTGTTTATGTGGTGGATTATGTTTACAGACTTG